CTTGGCGTTACATGTAATTTTTGCCGAGATAGGAGGGGTCGGATACTTATGATTTGTACTGTAATTTATAATTATATACTAAATTATAAATAGAGTACATATATTATTGTATTTAAACTAGACTACACATTAGGTAAAATATTTTGTACAAATATAACAAATAATGTTTTTATTAATGAAATTATGATTATTTATTTAGAATTAGTAACTTAATTGATACAAAATAATTGATCAATTAGAAATAATAATTATTCAACTTTTTTTTCCTATTACTAATCTAAATCTTTTCATTTGTTAATAATAATAATAATAATGTTACATGTTCATGAACTCCCTAAATTAAATTAAATAAGGATAATAATTAATGTTGTAAAAATTGGAATTGTAATATATTAAAATAACGTAGATCTATATTTTGTTTGGAATCACATGTTTTTCTAACATTATTCCAATTTTCAAATTGTTGTATTTAATTCTATAATTCTATAGGATATATACGTAGCTGGGTTTTTAGTATTAAATACAAGTTTCATAGTGCAATTTAAAGCAGTCTGAATATATTTTTTAAAATTTTAATTATATTAGGAAACAAAAAAGCAACTTTTTTTACACTTTAGAAATGGTGCATTTTTACCTCGTTTATAAACTCACTCTCATGTGATTTGCTTTTAATTATATAATGATTTCAACTCAATTTATTTGTCGTCTCCAGATCGTATCGGTGTAAATTTGTTTTCTTCATGATCTCACTTGTAACCGTACAATAATGCCTTATCGCTATAAATTTTTTAGTTTTATCAGCAATTATTTTATTAGACAGGGCGATATCTTTATTCTCGCTAGACCATTCAACTTGGTGATATTCATTACATTCATAGCCTTTGCGGTAACCAGATAGGCATTCGTTATAACCATGCGTATTAGAATCCACCTTTGAGTTCAGTGTTTTAATTAAAACTTTGAAATGATGGTAAAATAAAAATTATTTCTAAGGTGAAAAGGGAGTATTTTGAATGGAGGTTATTGTGGTGGATAAAAAAACATACATAAAACACAAATAAAAAAATGATAATAACGATAATATTGTCAATGTATGCTTAAGAATTGCATATATTTATTTTTAAAAGATATTGGTAATTTTTACAATAGTAAAATCCCATTCGTCAAAATTCCCACTTTCACCTTATGTGTTGTTATTCTTCCGTCTGTGTTTGTAAAATAACACAGGAACACATTGTGGACCAATAAATCAGAATCGAATTTACAAAGACGAACCATTTATTGTTATTGTGTAGAAAATCGATATTGTTATGTAAGAAAATAAGACAGAACGTATAACGATAAAAGAAGCTTTTTATGATTTCTATTTATGTGTAATAAATAAAAGGCTCTTCTTTCAAATGCGTGTTGTAGGCGTAATGTGTCTGACATTTTCATGCGAAGCTCTTACGCGTAATACGTTAAGTTCTATGAAGATATATCGATACGTAGCGATAATACATATCGATATCGAATTTTGCTTTAATAAACACAAAATTTCTAGTCTAATTTGTCGCTATATTAATAAATATAGCGATTAAACGAATAAACTAACTAAGATTAAAGTAAAATAACTTATATCAATAAAGATATTTTGATAAAAAAGTAAAAACTGTTTTTGGTTGTTGTGCTTTAACTCGAGACACGGTTAATAAAAAGATATAATTATCAACTTAATTTAATAAAGTCTATAGTATATTGTTTTACTTTGTTGGATATCTTTTCATTCTCTTTGATTTCATGTGGTATACTAAAATCGAAATCTGTTTTGCACACACACAAAGAAAAAATAATAATGAATGAATGAAATTAATGAAAACATAATAAATGTGATTTTACCTTCGTTTGGAATAAACAAACTGACACTTGACATTTCTATGCATTTGTCATGAATTTTAATTGTTGTGAAATGCTAATATGATTTATATTTAGAAATAGAAAATACCTGTGTCAGTTGAAATTGAAATTAATTTTGTGATAAAGACTCGACTGGTGTAAACTGCATTAGAGTGGATTTGTTGTTTTTTGTTATCTCCTTACCAAGTTCATCTAATTTCTGCTCTCCCAGTTCGAGACAAAAATTATTTTTATTTGTCTCAGGAGATTCTAAAGAACTGTAATATTGAAAATGCAAAATATTCAACTTTGTTGCATATCCATGTTTTTTGATAGAGTAGAGAAAGTCCTTAAACTCCCAAGTAGTTGGTCTATTCTGGAATAGGATCCCAACATTTTTCAATAATAAACTTGAATAATTTGTGAATATTATTTGATATCGTAGGTCGTACGCCTTCATAAATGTCTAATACGAGATCTGTACCATGACTCCGCCCGCTAAATGGTCGTTCACCTGTGACAACCTCGTACGTAATCATCCCAAAACTATAAATATCGGCAGCTTTAGTGTATGGCTTTCCATTTAGTACCTCTGGACTTATATAAGGAGGTACTCCGTAAATTTCTTGATTGTATTTTTCTAAATCTGCTGGTTTAGTAAGTCCAAACTCAGCAATTCGACTGCTTCATGCTGTATTAATATATTTCCGGGATAAGAATCACGATGCACAAATTCCTCATTGTGAATTTTATTCAACTCTGCCTGTAATGATCTCAATTAAATGATTTGATTTATTGTTTTTATTGTTCCAATTCAATTTTTGGTGGTTAGAATTCATAAATTTGCGTAGATCACTATCGAGTATTTATTTGTAGCTGGGTTTTTAGTTATTCCATAATAACCAAGAAGGGTATCACTGCACTTAGAGCTAATTTTGAAAAAGTTGAAAAATAAAAAAGCAATATGCCTACACTTCAAAAGGTGATCATTTTACCTCGCTTATAAACTCGGATGTAATTTGCTTTGAATAGTTTAATGATTTCAATACAACTTCTTTGTTTTTTTCATTTCGTGTAAATTCCTTTTTTATGATCCCACTGATCCAATTCTCCGTCCAACCGGGATGCTTTATAAATTGATCCAAAACCTCCCTTTGCAAGATATTCAACATTGGCAAATCTTTCAAAAGGGATCCATTCGAAATAATTATTAATACTAATTTCATCAGCAATTCTGTCGCATTCATTTATTAGACTGTCGATATCTTTATTTCCACTAGACTGTCCAACATAAATTCGTCTGTGATATCGAATACATCTATAACAGTACCCATTGTTTTGACAATGGGTACATTTACTACAATCATGAGTATTGTGAACTGAACACTCATCGCAGTACTTATTGTATTTACAATCGTGACAGTTATTACTACAATCATGAATATTATGAACTAAATACTCGTTACAGTACTTATATGTTAAGGTATGCTTCTATCGGTTCACACAACAGGTTAATTTATAAGTTGTCCAAAACCCTTCTTTTACAAGATATTAAACATCGGTAACTCTTCAAAATGTATCCATTCGAAAGGAGCATATCTTCTCTTTTTCTTAGCAGTTTTATTGCATTCATGATTATACTGTCAATATCTTTATTTTCGCTTGAGCATTTAGCTTTATGAATTGTTTGTTATATGCAAAACATCCATAGCAACCCATATTTATTTGAAAAGCAGCACCCTTCTTACAAGCATGAGTTTTGTGATTTGGACACTCTTCGCAATAGTAATCATTTCGACACGAAAAACAATCAAAGTATTAAATTCCATTTTTGAGTTCACTTTTAGTGATTATATGCAGTGTTTCATTAATGATGGTAGAAGTATGAAAGTAGATGGTGTTTAAGTTATAGAACTTTCATTTGTGTTTTTATGCATGAAACTGCCAGACATGTGTATGAGATATTCGTAAAAAAAAAGAGGTATTTATCGTTATTATTTTAACTTCCATTTGTGTGTTAAAAGAAAAGTCATATCTTAATTGTATGTGTAAAATCGTGAGACTGAACGCATAACGAAGCCTTTATAACCTTAGTTCTTTTTTTTAATACTGTATATCAAATGAATGTGAAATTCTTACGTGCAGTTGAATTTTTAATCTGTGTATACATGTACAGCATTCATAACGATAATAGTAAATGAATAGCTTTAATGATGCAAAATAATAAATTATCGGATACGTACGTACTTCGAGCTGAGCACGGGACTGAAATTCTCAATACATCTGTATATAGAATTATTTTTCTTTCCTTTAATCGAATCCTGATTCAATTCTTGAATTCTTTAAATCAAACAATAACGATCCCAAAGGGGTTTATGTTTAGTACAAAAATATAAGTTTGTTCACACGTGGGACGATTTCATGGAATTGGAAACGGAATTACCAAATTCATTAATGAGGATGGGATGAACTCATCATATTATAACGAAGTGACTTTAGAATAATACATGTACTAATTTATCTTAATTTAGAAATAAAGAACACAATACGACCACAAAATCTTTCTTTGATTGAGGCACTGTAAAAAGGATTAACAATGATCATGGTTATCCACCATCAATGCACAAATTTGCAAAAAAAGATGAAATATCCGAAGAAATTGTTGAACACAAAAGTCACAAGATAAATCTCAAAAATAAATGATCTTGATAAATTGTATAGGATTCTAAAATCTGTTACAATGGGTTATACATTCAAATGTTATTATTTTTATTCATATATTTAATAAATTTATGATACCTTTTACACGAAAAGTTCACTTTTTTCTTTATAATTATCGTTATTATTAATAAATGAACATGAATTTTTTACAATCATTATTCATTGCATTAGAAACAATAAATATATTTGCTCTAGTACTTTTATCAAAAATAATCTTTTCTTCTTCAGGCACAACACATCGAATCGAATTCTTTTTACCTTTTGTCAAATTTCTACATTACAAGCTATAGTCACTCTATTTGAAAATTATAAGATACGGTGCTGATTACCCTAAAGCCACGAATGAAACTCTATGTATATTTCAAGCATATACTACATTATTCTCGGTTCTAATGCAAGGAACAATGGTCGCAAGTCTAGCATTAAATCTTTGGAATATAGTTATTCGGAATAAAGTTGATCATAATAACAAAAAATTATGGATGAAATATTGCGTGGGATCCGGAATTATAGCTGGATTATTAACTGCGTTAGCATTCTTGTTCGAAGTGAAAAAATCAGGGTTGAAATCCGAGAATTCAGCGCTTGCTGATGCTTTTGCTGGTGCTGCAGCCAGTCCCATAGGTTGTTTAGTTACTACTAATTCTGTAAAATTGACATTCCACCATTGATAATTGCAATATTGACCGGGACTGTATTGACAAGTAGGTCTTTCTTATCAAGTAAATGAATTCGAATATCAATATTAATTATAATTAGCGCACGCAACCATCAAACTTTTTGTCATAAAAAATACTTTTCGAAACGATCGACAAAATATTAAGAAAAGGTATTTCAATTTATTTTCATTAATCAATTTTAGATTTAACTTCCCAATTATTTTTGACATTTAATAGTTTAATCCATTCAACTGCTGCTATTATCCATATTCTACGTTGTTTATTTGCTGCTTGCAATACGTAAGTGTTTATGAACAAATGCCGGATATGATTATTTTGAAAGCGTTTATGCATCTTATAACTTTATTTATTTTTCTAAGTTCCTCGACTAATAGGTTATGTAAGAAATGGAAATAGATTTGTTCTGCCCACACGACCAACTGCTACGGAATTTCAGTGACTTTCTTGTAATCGATTTATTAGCTTGCGAGACTTTTCATTAAATAAAAAAATAATCTTTACTTTTTTTACAGAGGTCCAATTCTACTTCTAATATTTGGCACATTCAGACTTTCATTATCATATTGGATATATTTATGGCTAAATAAATCAAAAAATGGTCCTTTAGAAACCACATTCACAAATCAGACATCCACTTCCACGCAACAAATATGGCAGCCAGACAACATCATTATGATGAATATGAATATACATCAAAGGTTACCACATACGAATCTGGATCCAACCACATCGCAATTAAAACCTCATTTTGAACGTGATCCTTCCCATTAAGCTATGTAATCACGAAAAAAGACCATAATTTGTTGTGGTGTATAATGAAGTGACTAAAGTTGGGTTGCCTGGACATCGATTACATTTTGCAGATTTGCAGGAATTAAATGCTTACATGGAAGAAAGAATTACAAATAGTGAACATAGTGAACAAGAACCAGACGAAATTAGATATGATGAGGGCAGTAATTATTGATATATTTAATGGGTCTAAAGATAACACGTTAAGCGGAGTCGGATTCTCCTATTGGCTCGGACTATCTGGTCACAGGTACCAAACTTATGAGTTACAGTGGCCTATGTTTTGCATCACGTAAATAAAAAAATAATAACAGTAATATCTCGTGATTTTACACGTTATTAACATGTGCAAATAAATATATACAAAAGGGAAACTAGAAGTTCCTTAAAATTAATTCAATTATATTTCAGCGATGCATTTTTTTGACTGTTTGTTCATTCAAGGTAAATACATATAACATTTCCAAATTTTATAACAAAACACAACTCGAATAATATATAAAAGATATACCTATTAGTATAGTTTTTCATTTCATTTTAATAAACATATCGCTAAATCAATATGGTTCATATCAGTATCGAACAAGGTCATAAATTTCTGCCCTTCTTCAAGAAGGATTCGCTTCCCATTATATCGCATCGAAAGAAAATATTGCACAATCTTCTGTTATCCGACTTAAAAAAAATAGAAACTACTGATTCTGTAAAAGACTTACCAAAATCTGGCTGCCCACAATTTTTTACAGGCCGTGATATTATACGATGTATTTCGAGTGGTGAATGTTCTAATGCTGTATCAATTCAAAAAAATTACAAACTAATAATAAAATCAATGTAAGCGATAGTATTATAAGAAGAACTTTACGTAGCAATAGTTTTTCTGCTATAATTAAACGAAAAAAACCATATTTGAAAAAACACATTGAAAATTGCGTTTAAAATTTGCTAAGAAATGCAAGGATTGGATGGTGGATGATTACGAGTCTAAGTTTATGATACATGTATATGGGTCAGACGGTTGTGAAACACAAAATGAATCACTAGATGATCGTCATGTAAACCTACGGTCAAATTTGGTGGCAGAAGTATTATGATCTGGGGTTACTTTTCTTCCTTTGGCGTTGGTAACATCATACCCATTTTTGGCACCATGGATAAGGAATTATACTGCGAAATTTTGAATGATGACTTGTTAGGAACTATCGAGCATTACGAGTTGAATAAGAATAATATCGTTTTCCAACAGGATAACGATCTGAAGCACACGGCTAATTTAACAGAGCAATGGTTTTACGATAATGATATTAAGGTATTAGAATGGCCACCACAATCTCCCGACCTCAACCCTATAAAACATCTCTGGAATGAATGGATATACGTTTGAGAAGGTTAGAAAATCCAGCTCGTACTCAAGATGAGTTATGGGAAGCTATTCAAAAAATATGGATAGAAACAGATCATAACTTTTTAACTGGTCTAATTGAAAGCATACCCGAACGAATAAATGATGTAATTGAGGCTAAAGGAGGGTATACAGAGTGGTAAAGAATAATTTCGTAAATTTTTAGTCGTTAGTTATTTAAATATCGGTTTTAAATTATTTGCATCGTAAACAGTAAAAAAAACGCATCATGTAAAATTGCATCGATCATTATTATTTCAATTTACTGATTATTAACCAAATAAAGAATTATATTTACATGTTTGCAACATTTGGTAAACAATATGCGTCGGAATTTGTGAGTTTCAGGTGTTTGTATGTAATGTTATTGAATTTACATGATATTCTTTTAAATTCGGAATAAGGAATTGCACATGTAATTTAAGTTATTATTTTGATTGGTCAGAAGGTTTTTTCACAGGACAGGTTCGTCAATCGTCATGGGTTTCGTTCGACGAATGACGTGACGAAACCTTTCATCATTATGAAAATCGTTTCGTCAATCAATTTGCGTGGTAATGTACCTTTATCACCTGAGGGCAGTGTATCTACCTTCGTGGTAGTGCATTTATCTTCGGGTTCGGTTTGTATACAACTTAAATTAAATATTACGATTCTTTTGAGCACTTTTTTGGAAGTCGCATGCAATCATTTAATTTGTTTATTGATAAAATATTCTTTTACTTTTATTAATTTTTTGATCCTATATTATTCCCCGAATGTTGCTGGCGAGTTTTAAATTAGATGAAAATAATCATAATATTTTCAAGAGAATCCATGTAAATTAGACAATGAGCGTTTAATTTATTTAGCTTCAAGCAAGTTCATGATCTTCTAAAGTTTAGAAACTGTTAATTGATTGCTTGTCGATTCCAATAAATAGCAGTATTCTTCAATGTTGCGGCGTAGAAATATCCGAGAAGATATGACTTGAAATTCCTATGAGCGAACATTCGTTAATTGCTTTTCATAGTCTTTGATATATTTTTGAAAAATTAGCTATACTGTATGTCAATTGAGAAAACTAACTTCCCGAATTATGAAAAGAATTTTTTTCTATAATTGATTAGCCGAATCAAATAAAATATCTTCTCAGATATCTCAGGTGAAGGGATCGGAAGCTGCAATTTATCGGTAACGATAACTGTCGATTCCTACTGCAAAAAAAAACACAAAAGTCTCACGAAGATCCCCAACGTTATCTCCTTCAGGCTCTTGCTTAGCGTGAAGGTGAATTGTTCACCAGCAGGGAATGCTTCCGCCTGAAAGTCAACTTTTCCTAATGCAACCTCCATAAATGCACGCACTATGTATGCTCTCTAAATGCACGTTCTTACTTAGTTCTGATTATAATAAGTGCATGCCCATGTTTGATTAGTCATATGGTCCCGGCGAATTGCATTTAGGGAGTTGACTGTACCACTAACTTCTCCCTCGAACTAATATTTGTTTCAATCAATAAGATCGCGTCAGCTGATAACATTGAAAAAACAGATTTGATAGACTTGGCATGTTTGCGTCGTTCATTAGATTATGTGAGCTATATACGTCAATTCACAATTGTAGTATCGCTTAGGTGTAGTAGTCTCACTAAAATCACTGCATTTGTTGGCATAACGAATGAATTAAATGTCACCTAATTCTTGTAACCAAATTTGACAAGACCATGGGTGCATACATGTATTAGAAGTGAAACAAATGTCAGAATGAAACTATTTAACTAAATAGGTACCAACCTTAATTTGTAAATTACAATTGTTATGATTTTTAAAAGAATTTTTTGTTTGGTATACGTTCGATAATGTTACGGTTGATCCTTATTGCAAAAATACACAAAAGTCTCACGAAGATCCCTCAACGCCATCTCCTCCAGGCTTTTGCATAGCGTGAAGGTGGGTTGCGCAGAGCCCATGAACCAGCAGTAGGATGCGTTCCGTCTATGTTCATCATATTGTGAATTTGATATTTATATCAAAAATAGGAATACTTGAATTTCACTTGATGAAAATTGTGGGTTTCATTTGGAAAGCTTTTACTTGATTGGCTAAAAAATATATCATTTCTGACTGAGATCACCAGATCATGAGCAAAAATTTGATTTACAACGTACGTAGTGATCGTGACGTTATCATATACGTATACTGATATTGATATAGTCGATAACGATAACATAGTGATAGCGAATAATTTACACAAGTTTGATTTACATGTACTTTTTACTCTATAAAATCCGTAATAAAAAAATACTTAATGTCAAGTAAAGTTAATCATTATATTACAGTAAAATTTCAGTTGCTTGTGGACAAATTATGATTATATTTTCTATCGTGTCTTGTTAAATGCGAATTACAACATTCAATAATTTCATTTCAGTATTTTTTTATTAACTAAAGAGCTCTCCATTGACGGGAACTTCATGATACATCTTTATTTCAGTTAGTATATAGCTGTTGCTTTTATTAGAAATGTCTATTTTGAGAGAACGCTTATTTCTTAAAAATTTAATTCGTATTGTAGAACATTGATCACATAAGATTAAACATTCCTATAATGAGTTAAATTCAAGTTCCTTCGGACGGTAGAAGAGTATGTATTTAATTTTTTTTTATCTAAAAGCACACGTAGCGCCGTTACCAAATATGCCGTTTGCCGTGTGTTCTGTATGTCGTATATAATATCAGCGAGACTTGATTGAGAAATCTCTTATTGTTTTATTAAATGGGTGTTACATTATTATCGTTATGCACAGTGAAACCTGCTGTAGCAAATAAGACTGAGCAATTGAAAAATTAAAAAAATATCACAACTTTACTAATATTGAGTTGGATTTATTATAGACGATTCGTAATTAGTCTCCACTATATCGAATTTCACCGTGTATACAGTAATAACAGCAAGATTTTTAGCCGATGAATAATGCTACAGAAGACTCGCATTGTTCCAAGACGATTGCATTTAACTCGTTTCAATTGTGTTCAATATCAATAAATGTGCCCTTTTTGATGTTATCAGAAAAATGATTTTCTAGAAAAGAATTCAAAAAATTAATTAATTCACAAAAATGACGGTAACGGTAACGTAACGACTCAACCACATGCGTTACGTAGTGTAACGATACCGTTATAATGACCTTTCATTTTCTACTTTTTGACGACTAGTATGCATTAGTGAAAATTATGAGCGATAATCGTTACCATTACGTTGATTTTTGTGTAAATCTGTGATACAAATTTTTATTATTATTCCTGATATAGGTTTTGATTAATTGCGGGCGTATGCATAGCATATCGATTGCGGAAGTTCTATAAAAGGTACATGTGTTAACGTTGATAGTTACAGTCATTTCAAAGTTTAACGTTAACGTTAGATAGACTCAAAGATGGAATCTAATACTCATGATTGTAGCAAATGTACTTTTTGTCAAGATAATGATTACTGCTGGACATGTTATTATTATCACATAAAAGCTTATAAAGCTGATTTGTCTAGCGGAAATAAAGATGTTGACAATCTAGTAAATGAATGCGTAAAAATTCAAAGATCTTTCGAATGGATCCCTTTTGAACGATTCACCAATGTTGAATATCTTGCAAAAGGAGGTTTTGGACCAATTCATAAAGCATCCTGGTACAATGACATGTGGGATCATGCAGAAAAGAAATTTAAACAAAATAAAAAAATCAATGTTGTGTTGAAATCGCTATACACATTAGAGTTTATAAACGAGGTAAAAAATAAATAATGCTAAAGTGTAAACATGATGCTTTTTTCTAATATAAATAAGTTTTTCAAAATAGATAACGACTGCTTTAAAGTGCAATTCTGGTTTGAATTATTATGGAATAACTAAAAACCCAGCTACAAATGGGTACTCGATTGTAATGGAATATGCAGAAATTGGTGATCTACGCGAAAATATTAATTCTAAAAAATTGACTTGGAACAAAAAGCTAAGATATTTAGTCGAAATTCTCTATGGATTGTGTAGAGTTCACAAAGAGGGGTTTGTGCATCGTAACTTTCACCCTGGAAATATATTAATGCATCATAACGTTCATATTGTTGATTTTGAACTTACCGGTCCAGAAGATGTAAAAAAATCTAATCAAAAAATTTATGGAGTTCTTCCTTATATTAGTCCAGAGGTACTAAATGGAAAACCGTACACTAAAGCTGCAGATATATATAGCTTTGGGATGATTATGTACGAGGTTATAACAGGCGAACGACCATTTGGTGAGCAGAGTCATGATATACATCTTGTACGCAACATCTATAAAGAAGTACGACCTACGATACCAAATAATATTCTCAGATGGTGCAAATTTATTATTAAAAAATGTTGGGATCCTATCCCAGAAAACAGACCAACTGCTGAAGAACTTCGAGACTTTGTCAGATCTATCCACTTTCCAAAAAACAACGAAAATGTCATTACGAAGTGGGAACTGAATACTTTGCATTTTCAGCACTACAGCTCTTTAGAATATCCCAAGACATCTGAAGAAATTATTGAGTGTCTTAAACTAGAAAATCTAAAGTGGAAAGAACTTGATGAGGAGATGAGATCACAAAAAAGTATTCCTACAAATGTGAACAAAAAACAACAAATTCACTCAAATGCAATTTACACCAGTCGAATCTTTACGATAAAGTTAATTTCAATCCCAAATGGTACAGGTACATTTCATTTCAAAATTCAAATTGTGCTGACATTCACGTTAATCATAAAGCTAATTTTGGATATTCAGGTTCTGCAAGTGTCAGCTTATATGTTCCAAACGAAGGTAAAGTTACATTTATTTTTTTCTTTGGTGGTGGTGAAAACAGATTCCGATCTTAGTGTACTATTTAAAATTTCAGATTTGGATGCAATTAAAGAGAATGAAGACAAATCTGGTTTTCTTCATTGTAATAAATGCATTCGTTGTCAGAAAAATAATTACTGCTCTGAATGTTCAAATTACAACTATCAATTTTATAACGCTGAATGGTCTAGTAATAGTAAAGATATCGACAGTCTTATAAAAGAATGCACGAAAGTACAAAGATTTTTTGAATGGATTCCTTTTGAAAGATTCACCAATGTTAAATATCTTGCAACTGGGGGCTTTGCAGTAAGTTATAAAGCAACCTGGTTGGACGGACCATTAACTAGGAGATGGGATCATGAAGAAAATAAATTTAAACGATATAAAAAAATCAATGTTGTGTTGAAATCATTATGCACATTAGAGTTTATAAATGAGGTAATAATAAATAATTTCAAAGTGTAAGTATCGGTATGATGTTTTTTCTAATATAAACAAATTTTCAAAATAGATAACGATTGCTTTAAAGTGCAATTCTGGTTTGAATTATTATGGAATAACTAAAAATCCAGCTACAAATAGGAACTCGATTGTAATGGAATATGCAGAAATAGGTGATCTACGCGAAAATATTAATTCTAAAAAATTGACTTGGAACAAAAAGCTAAGATATTTAGTCGAAATTCTCTATGGATTGTGTAGAGTTCACAAAGAGGGATTTATGCATCGTAACTTTCACCCTGGAAATATATTAATGCATCATAACGCTCATATTGTTGATTTTGAACTTACCGGTCCAGAAGATGTAAAAAAATCTAATCAAGAAATTTGTGGAGTTCTTCCTTATATTAGTCCAGAGGTGCTAAATGGAAAACCGTACACTAAAGCTGCAGATATTTATAGTTTTGGGATGATTATGTACGAGGTTGTAACAGGTGAACGACCATTTGGTGAGCGAAGTCATGATATACATCTTGTACGCAACATCTATAAAGAAGTACGACCTACGATACCAAATAATGTTCTCGGATGGTGCGAATTTACTATTAAAAAATGTTGGGATCCTATTCCAGAAAACAGACCAACTGCTGAGGAACTTAAAGATTTTATTAAATCTATCAATCCAAGTAGCAACTGGAAGTGGGAACTGAATACTTTGCATTATCAATATTACAGCTCTTTAGAATATCCCAAGACGTCTGAAGAAATTATTGAGTGTATTAAACTAGAAACTCAAAAATGGAAAGAACTTGATAAGGAGATGAGATCACAAAAAAGCATTCCTACGAATATAAACAAAAGACAAAAAATTCACCCAAATGCAGTTTACATCAGTCGAATCTTTACTATAAAGTCAATTTCGATTCCAACTGATACAGGTACCTTTGGTTCCTAAATACAATTCATGTCGACTTTTCGTATTAATTAGAATTATATCGAACATTTAGGTTCTACAAGTGTCAGTTTATATGTTCCAAATGAAGGTAAATCCTTGTCTAATATTATTTTTATTAACTTCATTAACTCATTTCTATGTTTTCTTTGTGGTGTAAACAGCTTTCGATTCTAGTATACCATATGAAATCAAAGAGAATGAAGAGATTTCAAGTATCTTAGAAGAAAAACTAGGAAGAAACAATAGAATGATTCGTGAACGAATCCTCTGAAAAAGAGAAACAACGCCAATATAATAAAGTAATTACAAAAGAAGAAAATGATAGCTACTTTAATTAGACTTTATTAATTAACAATACTTAAAATATCAATTTATAGGGTTAAAGAAATTAATCATAAAATCTTTTGCTGTACAAGTAAAAAATTTCCTTATCGTTATAACATAAAATGTAATGGTATTTTTGTTACTTTTTTGAGATTAACAATTGATAATGCAGCTTCTTCAATTACACAGTTTATATAAATCACTGAATAATCATTTGTTATATTAGTTTTATTACATTTGTTTTCAAAATTACTGTTTATTGTTATTAATATAGTACTGCTACTCAGAATTTGTTAAAGAATTATAATTTGTCATCACTGTTTCATTTGTAATCAGAATCTTTACTTATTATAATTCACTTGTCTGTTTTATAGAATTACACCAATTAAACTTAATCTCTCGCAAATTTTGATATAATTAATGCAAAAAATCCAACACTTCTTTTAATAAACGAAAGTTGTGGGTGTAATTTATCTGTTATTTTTTATTTAAGATTCATATGCATAATATTCATACAGTATCAGCATAAGCACAATGGAAGCTTTGTTACAGGTATTACTTTAATATAGGAATTAAAAATATATGCTGCTAACAATGCACAATCTAATTAATTGCTGCATTTGAGTCCAAGCGACAATACTAACAGCCATCCAATCAAATTAATTAAGCTATATATGTATACTATATAATATAAATCACAATCATATAGATAACAATAAACTGTGAAACTAATAAGGTTATTTCTTTTAGAGATAAATATTTATTCTATTTCTTTAGGGATAAATGTTTATTATATTTCTTTATACTGCCTTTGTCATTTAAATAATTGAGTTGTGTTGAAAGTTTAACTTATTTAAGGTATGCTACGTTTATTATGATTTCTTGTTTCGTAAGTTATTAATAGACAATGGCAAATCCCAAAACTTATAAAAGGACTCAATCCTGGGATCGCAGTCCTATGATAAACTCACATGATTTAAGGATCGAATTTGAACTGTCCTTGAAAAATCGGATGGGACCCAATCCTAAAAGACCGATTAACATATCATATCTAGTATTTGGTGATATTGTACAGACGAAAATCTTCAGGTAAGCATTAATAAAAATGTTATTTCTATATTTCAACAAAATTTTTCAAATTAGATATTACATTTGGTCCTAAATGTATTTATAAAATCAAACATTTTGAATGTTCCATTTAGATATACCCTAAAAAGTATTTCTAGACCATAAAGGGTGTATTTGAAATGGCAATTAACTATTTTTGAATTCTCCAAATCAGAATATTACGGCAGATGGGATTGCATTTCACAATCCTTGCATTAGTCATTGTATTCGTTTTACATTTGGTATTTGTGACTTGCCACATCCAGTCACATGCAATCAGTGTGAAAATAAATATAGACTTTAAATGAATATGTGTTGATTTCAAATCAACTTAATTTAAAATTGATTTGAAATTAACCTAATTTTATCGACATAATTCTAAGTCAACCTAGAACAAAAACTCGGGTTATCATGCCCGTGAAACATACCTAAATATTCATGCTAGAACCAATCTTGCCAAACTTGATCCTGATGGTGCAGTAAAGATTGTTAACTACGAAATGAATGTTTCACTGGGGTGTGCGATATACTACATGGATGTGGTATCATAGAAAGGTCTATTATGAAAGATTTTTTTGTGAATTATCAATCGATAAACTAAATACATGTACATGTAATATGATTTTATATAAAATTGTGACGCACTTTTTTAGATGCACAGGAGGTTTAATACAAATCGATTCTTGCTTATTACGAGTATAAAGCTATAGAATCTTTTTTTACATTACCTAAACTATTTTCATCGTATTTTGACTTGGTTGGCCGAACGAATTTTTAAGTCAATTGGTAGATTTTTTGGTTAAAATGTAAATTTCGCTCTATATCTTAGTTCTTTTACCTTAATATTAATCTTCTCAAAATTTCACCTTGGGATTATGAGTCGATAAGGCTGTGTATCTAATTAAAGCTGAAAAAATGTCACTGTCGTAATTTTAGCGAAAATATTCTTTTTCAACTCTGCTACAGATTCTGTATATGCATTCGGTTCCTATTAGCGTAGCCAAGTATTTTACTAGTGATTGATGACACTCCTTGGAAATAGGATCGTAGGGATCAACTCCTTGATCACCTCTTTGTAGTCTTATTATAAAATTGTATTGACGCAAAAATATATAAATAGAAATAAGTGTCCTGTCAGTGAGAAAAAAGGTAAGAGAAAGGAAGGCAGAATTACATTATCCAAGTAATTTAATTCTTTTTTTCTTCTCACCATTATCACTACAATATGCACTACCGTGCAGGACACTTAAAGAGCAAAAAAATTAATTACTTTTTTGTTAAGTCAAAGAATTAATGATTCTGGTACGCAATCGGTTAAACAATCTAAATTTCATTTGTTTTTAAGCAAGATCAATAAAGAAAATTTATTAGAATGATTAAAAAAGTACTGTTGCACTTTTAGTTAAGTTGGGGTGAATTGAGGGATTTCTAATGCAACAAAACTTTGGGAGAGATTATTAGACTGAGTGATATTTATTTCAGTATAAATAAATATTAATTACTATTTTTAGATAATTATATGTATATTTGTAGTTACTAATTAGTTATGATTGATAAAAATAATGTATTTATATATATATACTACAAAAATATCAAAAATGCTAATTAAAAGTGGATAAAAAATATCGAGATACAGTTAATGAATATATATATTAAATATTATCATTCTATATATATCTAAAAATCTGATCTGACCTGTCCAGCTGGAGTACTAGTTATTACTAATTAGTTCTGGAAAGCTTTACGCAAGTACAGAGAATTAGTCTTTCAGATTCTCTTTATTATTTTCTTTTAAGTCATTATCCTCTCTTTCCTTTTTTTATATTTATTCTTCCATAACTCTCCCATATTATTATCCTTTTTAAGTAAACACAATTTTCATAAAAATTGGCATAGATCTTAGATTTTTTTTTCTTTTAATATTTTTATCAGTTTACTACTCTCTTCCAACCCAGGTTTAAGTTTATAAACTAATTTAATAATAAGTGAACAAACTTGTAACAATAACTTGAAAAATGTAAAATAATTATTTTTTATTAGAAGTTTCTTAACATTGAAATTTATTTAAATTACAATGAATACCTGATCCAACAAAATTGCATCTTAGTGTAAAATCAACTGGAACAGAAAAGTGCAAATCTAGAATGAACAAAAAGAAATATAAGAAGCAATAAATTAAAATGCTTATTGATAAAAGTTAAGAAAAGTATATAATATATGTATGTAAAAAAATTACATGGTGCAGGATTTGTTGGCAATAAATCTTTATAAGTCTCAAGGTGTAGATTCTCGTATCTAATATCAAATGCTGATATATAACAGACAAAAAATATATAGTAAACACAGAACAATTATCTTTGTCACATAGAACTTTATGAACTCGATATTGGATCTGTATGGAGCAATTCCTAAAAGTTTTTTTTAAAATTCATAGGAGTTTATGAAAACGCTATGACTTTTTCATATTAATTATAAATTTATTCATTTTGTATAATATTTTAGTTTTGTCTAGGTGAAATTATATGAGATTTTAGTATGATCTAGTACAATTATATACAGTAATAATATTTTATTAAAAGAAAGTGAAATGTATTAACTTGAAAAGAATTTTTAAGTTTAAATATTCGCAATAATTGAGATGCCCACATTTTTTATATTTAATGACAACAAATGATAACATTAACATTAATACATGTATAGAACAAAGGTAGGAATCATCTAATGCCAGGAGGGAGCAAATCTATAAACAATTCCTTTTCTAATCAATCTGTCCATTTAGAAAATTTTGTGAAAAAATTATGCAATATCAATATAAATAGGTTCATTGTGCTTATATCAGTTGCAAATTCTTTGATTTTTTGGAAGGAGAAAAAACAATACCTTACTTCTTTGTGCTCTGTTTTCTTTCAAGTAATTAATCAGGAAAATGTATATGGTACAAACAATCAAAACTTCTTTTCATGCATAGAATATAAAATGCAGATAAATATTTTCATGATTATACGCATTGTTATCAATAGAAGATCATTGAAAGAGTCATTCGGAGGCTATTGGAAGCCAAATCAATACTAAATTGAACTTTGCAATGGGCTTCCTAAAGATAGGCAAATACGCGTATAATTAAATACATGTACTATAATACGTACTATGTGCACTATACGTATAGCATGTATATTTATATGTAATACAGTATAATTTTATCTACCAAGTTTTTGCTCACTATTATTATGCATTGTTTCTATCACTTTCATCACCTAAATAATATTAATATATTTATATCTTCATTAATCACAGTAATGCGTTTCTCAATTAACTTGACCTGGAGATTGTAATTTATGATTATTGTAAATATATGTATATGTTCATGTATAGGCAGGATGTACATATGAAACAATTTGACATTACATTAAAACGTACAATACAAGTTCTTAAAGAGGTAACTTATGGTGAAAAAATCAATGCGTAAAACACACACATGTATGATAATATGCATTTGTATTCTGTATGTTCGAGCATGAAATGAGTTGTGAGTAGCGTAATATTTTAATATTCAATAATTAAACAATAACTATAACGAGTAACGATTATATAGATCAAATGACCCTAGTTGTGTAAGAATGCATAGACTCGATGTTTTGATACTATTTGTAAAGTATGCATCCTGGGTAATTAAAGAAAACATTATTGTTATCTTTGTGGGAAGTTTCGTGTGATTTTACATAAAATATTTATATTACGCTATATGTCAGGAAAAACTCTATAAATTATTGTTAAAGATTAATTTAAAGGTTAGAGTTAAAGCTGAGATCAAGATTATACCTTCGTAACATTTTTTATTAGTGAATCAAGCTAGATTTCGACATCTGTTTCCCGTATTTTACATTTTTGTTTTTCTGGAGCTGATCAAAAATTTACGTGTGGTGCACCCCACATAATTTTTGATCTCAAATTTAAATTGGGCCAAGAAGTCGATTCATGATATTTTTCAATAAAATCACGTGACTTTATATTATAATACCAGATAGTACAGAATCATGTGAGTTTTTCAGACCAATGCTGATATTTTTAGATTACATTGATGATGATGATATTAAATTCACTAAATTCATAATTTTTTAGCCAAAGTACAAAAGTTCAGGGTGCAACATTATATTAAAATTGTTTGGCTTAATTGCAAATATAACAATTGTTGTAATACTTGTTATAATTGTTGTAAAACTAATCCAAATCACTAATGATCCCATTGACAGTTATTCCAATTATTAAGATATTTATAATATCATTATCTTTTACTATACATAATTTTTATATGAATATCTTATTATATTATATAAAGATATAATTTATATTATTTTTAGTATTTCAAATATTCTATTATTATTATTTAATGTTAGAAACATTGAAGAGTATTCTTTTATTATTAAATTAATGTTAGATACATTTGAAAATCCCATATATTATAAAGATATTGTTACAAGTTTTTTACTAATTGGATAATTAGCTAATAAATGTGAACAAGGGTTGGGAGAGATAATTAAACAAATATAAGAAGAGAATATGAAAATAATATCTAAGTTCTATATCAATTTTTACTGAAATTGTTATAGTTTGAAAGGGAAAAAAAATAAGATAATAGTGTTTTAATTAGGTATAGTAATCTGAATAACCATACTAACTAATTAATTTACGAATTATTTAATTAAAGTGACTAATAATTTAACTAACTAATTAAAATAACAAAAGTAACAAAGACTCTTTCACTTTATTCTTCTTACAAGAAAGAAATTATAATATCTTTAGTTGAGGAATTCCAAATAATTCAATTATAACAAAAATATTAAAAGACTAGTCTATAACAAAATATCAATTCAATAATTCAATGTCAACATTTTGATCAGCTCAATACAGTCTCAAAGCTACTTGTTCGCAAAATTTGAAGTGTACTTTTGAGAGGGGAATGCGAATTGTTTAAGTTTTAAAAGGTATTGTTGCAGTAGCAACGTTAAATTCTTTAATTCCATAATTTTTAACATAATCTTAGCATGAATATTATTACTATAATTTATGATATTTATTTTATTACATAATTTTAATACCAATTTAACATTACACATAAAATTCAACATCTTTTTAACATTTATTTTTAACTTTTTAACATATTATTAACATTTTTTTTTGTAATTATTTTAATATTTATAATATTTAACATTTTTTTCATACTTTGTTTAACATTATTTTTATCTTTTATATTATTTAACATCTATTTAATACGTAACACTTATTTCTTTTATAATTTAACATCTTTTTAACACTTACACTAAATCACAACTGAATAATTATCAAATTTAATATTAATTTAATATTTGTAGTAACATTAAACATGTAATTAGTATAGCCTTTGAATTTGTATATAAGAAGAAGTTCTCTTTAGTAGAAAGAACTCATGCTCTAATCAATAAAAGTGCCAACTTGTAAATTACTTACTTGTTAACAAATCTTTTCCCTTGATTAACTTCAAACCTTGCATTCAAGTAGTAGAAGCCCTCTACTC